TGTGTGTGTGTGTGTGGCTCTGTGCAGGTGAAGTTGGTGCAGCACACCTACTCCTGCCTCTTTGGAACATTCCTGTGCAACAATGCGAAAGAGAGAGGAGAGAAACACACTCAGGAACGGACCTGCTCCGTCTGGTCTTTGCTGCGGGCAGCAAACAAAGCCTTCAAAAACCTGCTCTACTCCTCCCAGTCGGAATCTGTATGTACCCCAATCCCCTCCTGGGGGAGAGCTGCCCCAAACAGCATCCTGCAGATGGGGGGATGAGAAACACCCCAGCGGTGGGACCTGGTGCCCTGGGGTTCCAGCACAGCTGCCCCATCCCTGGAGGTGTCCATGGTGTCCTGGATGGGGCTGGGAGCAACCCAGGGTAGTGGGAGGTGTCCCTGCCATGGCAGGGCTGGCACTGGGTGGGCTTTAAGGTCCCTTCCAGCCCAAACCCTTGTGTGGTTCTCTGAGCTGTCACCACGGACAGAGAGGGGATTCCAGACCAGCTCAGCTCCCTCTGACATTCACCTTGGAACACCCAGCTCAGGCTGGTGTTTGAAGTCTTGGGTTAATTTTGCTGATATTTGGGGAATGTCAAATGCCACCTCAGAAATTTCTCTGTGCTGGAAAGGTGCTTTCTGTGACTAAATGTTTTATTGTTTGTAATGGAAAACATTTCAGGGTTTGATAAATAGACCTCTCTGGAGAACTGAGCTGTGTCAGAGCAGTGACACAAAATTGCCTGCAAACCTAGACACTGTGTCTAAATTAATTTTAAATCTGAACAGAAAAAGTGGCTCAGATTATTTAGTGTATCTTTGTTTCTCTTGATAAAAAGAAAACCTTCAGGTTTTTGGTTTGGCTCCTCCATGTAGGAGCTCACTGAAGGCTCTGGGAAGGAGCTCAGTTGTGTGTTTGGTACAAGGTCAGGTGAGGGATTCAGGGGTGCAGAGCATGGGCAAGAGAGCAAACACCAAATGACATCATGGTTAGGACTGCAAGGACTTGCAGAAATATTTAAACCCTTTTTATTTCTCAAAGTATCAGATGTCATAAACTGAACTGCAAGGACTGTGCAGTGGCTTTGTGTATGACAGATGTAGCTTTCAGTTGTTTCTTAGAGCAAAACTCAACCCTGATAAGCAGCAAGGAGTTTTATGCCCACAGTGGTTGTAAAGAGATGAATTTTCTGCTCCCCTGAGCCCTCCTTGGCTGAGTGTGCCCTGGCTCTGGGCTGTCACTGCAATGAGCCCCTGGAGCCTTCCCACCTGACACCCCTGGGGAGGTTTGTAAGGCAGAGCAGACATAGCCTGGGGGGATCTTTAAGCTGTGGATGCTTCTGGATTTCCATGAAAATGCCAGGAGGAGCATAGAGAGGGCTCTCACAGTGACTGTGTGGACAGGTCTGTCCTTGGGCTGCCCTTCTGTGCTCTCTCCCACTTGGCCCCTGTTCTCAGGAAATACTCACAAGGACACTCCTTCTGCACGTGGGAGTTTGGGTAATTTCCTGGTTTGGGTTGGTTTTCTTGTGGTTTTGCTTCAGGCTGTAAAAGGTGCTTGTGGTGCAACTGCATCTCTTACAGAGCTGGTTACTTAGGAGCAGCAGCCCCCCCTGCTCAGTGCCAGGGAAGCAGAGTGTTCAGAGAATCACAGAATATCCTCATTTCGGAAGAGACCCACCAGGATCATACAGTCCAACTCCTGAGAGCATTGACACATGCTCCTGGAGTTCTGGCAGCCTTGGGGCTGTGCCCATTCCCTGGGAAGCCTGGGCAGTGCCTGTCTGGTGGAGCCAGCTGTTCCTCTGCCATTGCCTGCCTTTCCATGGGAAAGTTGCTTGGAAAAGAGTGGAATTACTAAAATTGTTTTTAAAGTGAAAGTGTTTTTAAAGTGAAGCAGAAAGATGTTTTTAAAGTGAAGCAGAAAGCAGATTTCACAAGCAAGGAATCCCTTTTAAGAGCAAGCTGCCTCTTCAAAGAACTGAATAGGTACCCATGTGCTGAGTATGTGCCCATGAGTGCCTCCTGTGGAGCCAGGCTGGGCTGGGGTGGATTGGGGTCCATGGGGTGAGTTCAGCTCCCTCTGGCACGGTGCAACACAACACACAAGGGAACATCAGCACTCACACTGAGCACTGAATTCCATGAGTTGTGAAGTGTAGGTTCACAGAGAGCTCATTGCAGGAGTTCATCCAGGAGGAGCTGAAGGCTGGCATTTTTCTGCCTCTGACAGAAAAAGTCATTCTAGCCCCAAGTTTGGCTGACAAAAAGCCATCCCCCAGCTGAGACCTGCCCAGTGATCTGCCCCCCTCAGAGCTGAATTTCTCCTGCTGGAGGCAGCAGCTGACCCTTGCCCTGTGCCCCCCTGGCAGGTGCTGTATCCCGTGTGCCATGTGCGGAACTTGATGCTCTGGAGCGCCGTTTACCTGCCCTGCTCCTCGCCCTCCACGCCCGCCGACGACACCTGTGCCCCCTACCCTGTGCCAGGCTCTAGCCCCGAAGAGCAGCCTCTGGGCAGGTGAGCCTAGAGCCCAGAAATCCCATCCTGTAAAGTAAGATCAACAGAGAATATTGGGGATACGGAAGGAGAATGGTTGGGTGGGAGGGCAGGATTTCTCCTGGGTGTATTGGTGGAACTGTGGGACTGAGCTGGCCAAGCACAGCCTGTCTGTGGGGTGGGTTTGGGAGCTGCCACATTGCAGGGCTGACAGCGTGGCAGAGAGAAGCTGGGCAAATAGAGTTCAACTCTGGGTGTCACATAACCACAGAGAATTCCTTCTGGCCTTGTGGGATATAAGCTTTCACTGGTTATCTTGAATTTGAGTTCTTTTTCAGTGTTGCATAACCATTTCTTTGCTTGTTGTACAGTGGCTCTGAGCACATGTTAATTAGGAGGTGTGACCAGGCTGTAAGCATTGGGGCTTGCTGGTAGAGGGATTAATCTGGGAATGTTTGAAGTCTGGTTTAACATATTTTCCTCATGGCAAACAAAGTACTGAAGCAGCTCTGCACTACAGATGGTCAGAATGTGCTCCTGGATGATATTTCCCACAAGTCCATTAGCTGGCAGATTGTTACTGTCCTACCTGGGGGGCTGGTTTTGAACCACAGCAGCTCAGTGTTACAAAAACATCCTCTGACTGGGGGGTGGGATTGTTTATCCCTTTGCAGGCTACCAAAGACAAGATCCTTTGACAATCTGACGACAGCCTGTGACAGCAGCGTGCCTACAGCCAACCGCCGCAGCAGCGACCCCAGCCTCAACGAGAAGTGGCAGGAGCACCGGCGCTCCCTGGAGCTCAGCAGCCTGGGCCCCCCCGGGGACGACCCCTTCGAGGGGGACGGGCTGGGCAGGCAGGGCAGGGCCCCCGTGGGCGCAGAGCTCTCTGTGGCAGCCGGGGTGGCAGAGGGACAGATGGAGAACATTCTGCAGGAGGCCACTAAAGATGATGTTGGGCTGGAGGAGCACTTGAGGGGTGGCCTGGAGGCAGCAGGGAAAGGGGATGAGGTTGGCCTGGATAAGGAGAAGAGAGCTGACAATCTGTGTGGGGAAAAGGCCGAGGTGGATGCAGGTACCGTAACGAACAATCCCACAGCCAACCCACACCCAGCCTCACATGGTGCTGCAGAGCTCAAAGGACAGCAGGACGAGCTCAGTGACCCCAGCTGCGCTCTCCAGAAGGCACCTCAGGGGAGAGGACTGCAGGCTGCTCCTTCTGAGGGCTCCGGAAACAGAGATGCTCCAAACAACACGGAGGAGGAAGGTCTTGGGAAAGGTGAAGGAGAAGCAGAGAGCCCGTGTGGCACAGCCCAGGCCAGCCTTGCCTTCCCTCTGACAGCCCTGCTGGAGGAAAGGACATCCAACATCGAAAACTCCACAGAAACCTTAACAGAGCCCGAAGCGAAGCCCGAGCTCACGGCCAGGGCCCCGTGCCACCGACGTCACCCCTTCGACAACAGCGCTGACGAGCTGTCCCGAACCCTGCACAGCAGGCCGGAGGGGGAGTGCATGATAGAGCTCCAAAAACTGGGATCAAGAGTGCACAGGACTTCTGGTAGCAGCACCACTCACCTCCCGATGCCTTCCCCTTGTGCCTTGCCTCTAGCAGACCGCAAAGACGAGCTGGTGTATAATGGGGAGCTGGAGCTGGAGAACAAACTGGTGGAGAAACCCGCGGGATTCGCGGCCCCCAGATTCCCCGCCACCAACGGACACTGCGTCAACGGCGACGACGGGCGCATCAAGG